AGACAGGTGGGTGCTTGTAGTGACCACGTATGGCACTGTGAATAAACTGAATTTGCATAAATGTCACCAGCACACCAATATTCAGTGAAAAAAAACAAAAGTCCATTTCTTGTAAAAATATTGCCATTCAAAAACTAGCACTTTTCGGGGGCCACGCAGGGTCCCCTTCATTCTGAGCCTGATGAACGGGACCCTGCGTGGCCCTGAAAGCGCTAGTCTTTGAATGGCAATATTCCTACAAGAAATGGACTTTTGCTTTTTTTCACTGAATATTGGTGTGCTGGTGACATTTAGGCAAATTCAGTTTAATCCAATCCAAACGCCAAACATGGTTTTGATTGAGAAAGATCCATAAGCACTAACTTTTTAATGTATATGTTGTTAAAGTAGAAGCAGCAGTATTGTGTATTGGTGTATTGGTTAGTACTTCTGCCTTGCAGTAATAGGGGGTCCCGCTAAATTCTGGCCAGGTCACTATCTGCAAGGAGTTTGCATGTTCTCCCTGTGCTTGCATGGGTTTCCTCCCACACACCAAAGACATGCTGGAAGGTTAATTGACTCCTCTCTGAATTGGCCCTGTATGAATGTATGAATGTATGTATGTATGTATGTATGTATGTATGTATGAAAGGGACCTTAGATTGTAAGCTCCTTGAGGGCAGGTACTGATGTAAATGTGCACTGCGCTGTGTAAATTGTTAGCGCTATATAAGTACCTGTAATAAATAAATAAACTTCAGCCATAACATTTTAGTTTTTAGGCTTGCATAAAGCAGGTGAAGGTGAAGGTGCTTTTCACTCACCTCATAGTTCTAGCCGACCTGTGACAATGAGACTGTCACAGGTCGGCTCAGTAGATCGGGAGGTGAGCGAACACATACCGGCGTTCGCTCACCTCTCGATCCTGTCACGGCTCTCTGCCGTGACAGGGGAGGGGCTGGATTCCCCCCTCCCCGCTCAGATCCGCCAGCGCTGACTGGCGGAACGGCTGGGGGAGGGGGCGGGTACAGCTGGCTCTGCCTCTAGATAGGCAGAGCCAGCTGTCAGTCACGCATCTGGGTGGATCCCGGCACAAGTGGGCGGATCCCGCTTCAGCGTCTCAGTATACCACGAGCAGTAGCTCGCGGTATACTGCGGCGTCTCAGTATACCGCGAGCTACAGCTCGCGATATACTGAGCCTAGGGTGACGGGAGGACGCTAGTTTGTGTCCTCCCGTTACCCTAAGGAGAACTATGGGGAAAAGTATCAACCCCATAGTTCTCCTTTAAGTTTTTATTGTTTTTCTGGGGAGTTTTGCCCTCCTCATCATGCTGATCATACATTAAATGTGGATAAAGCCAGCCACAAAATGTATACAGAGTTTCTCAATTTATATTTAAAAAAGAGCTTTGAGTCGTTATTTGTGTTTCTGTTGGAAAAATCGTCGACCTTTTTTCTGTCCCCCTGTCTGTGTAGAAAGTAAAGTCACGCAGACAGAAATAAAAACCTAACAACTACTATTTCCCCCTTCTAGCCAAAACTTTAAAAGTTGCACGTTTTTTTGTGATACCTTTTGTGATGTTGGGGAGCTCACAGAGCACTCGCACAGCGTTTTTCCATTAACGAACAGTCTTTATTTTTCTTTCAAAAGGCAGACAATCAAGAAGTCCAACATAAAATAGCTTGCTGCAGCAGAATACATGCATTGGCTCACCAATCACCGAGTTGTTCCATACACTCACGGTGCCCCAGTCTTTTAATAATTCTCTCTTGCAGCACTGCTGCTCCGGCCTCAATAATCAGGGCCACTGTCTGGTTCCCCCAGACAACGGCAATAACATGCCAATCCTCACAACAGACTTCACAAACCTGGCCTCCACACTGACTCCCAGGTGGAGCTCTCCTGTCTCCTAGGTGCGGCCCTGAACACAGCCCAGCACACTCTTCATGAGGGATGTGCACAGGTGCACAATTAGGTGCTGGTTACTACCAAAGCATGGACCCAGGAATGGAGATTTCCTCCCACCCAGAGCTCTAAGAAACCTCCTGGCTCCAGGATCTCAACTGTGATCCAGAAAACCCGGAAAGGACTGAAAAGGCTGTTCTTTCCTGGTACAAGTAATTTCTTCCTGGAGCCACTCAGCCCCTCTGGCTGAGAACCCTGGGTGACTTTGAGGCCACCCAACACCGTGGTATTGCCACGTAATGCCACACTTTGTATAGACTAACTCTAATTTTTTTAAGGATGCAAGAAAAAAAAAAAGCAAGATAAAAATTGAAAGTGACAATGCATAAAAAAGGGGAAAATACAAATACATGGAAAACTACTATGGGGAAAAACACTGACCCCATAGTTCTCCTTTAAATAAACCAAATTACCTTTAATACCAATAAAATGCACATCGGGTATCTGTCCAGCGTTATCAAATTTTGGATCTCTAGAGCACACATTCATAGACAGAACAACAAAGAGATACAATGAAATACAACTGTTTTCTCCATTGCACATATCAATGGTAATGGCTGTTGTGAAATGTTTGCGATAAATAGATGACGGTTGGTAAGGGCTTAGGAGTGTTTTAGAGATAAGAAGTCCTGGCACACTTCACACTTAAGTGTGAGCTGGAGAGAGTGAAAGTCTTTTTGGAATGCCCATATACCTTTGATCGGAGGTTTGAAGTAAAACAGACTTCCCTGACATAGGCAATAACTTCAGTTTATATTTTAGAGGCACGTACAATGTGTACAATGTGTACAGTGTATGTTACTATTCAGTTCACAGCCAGGGATAGTTTTCATGAGTTTGCATTTATATTCCAACCTCTCTTTTTATGATTTAAAGTTCTCCATTATGACTGTATTCCTGAGGTCATTCATGCTGTGGCCTAACACTCTCACCAACAGAGTCCTGGGGGACATTTTAGAGACATAATTAGGGATCTGTAGTGGAGAAGTACCCTGTATCGTGTACTCCTGTGTCGTGTACTCCTGTGTCGTGTACTTCTGTGTCGTGTCAAGCGCGGAAGCCACCACTTGTTTTGTACAAGTGATCCTGGTGATGTCGTCGAGATCACTTGTATGCAGCGCCTGCAGGTCTGCCATTCTCCATTGCGGGGGGGGGGGGTGGCGGTTAGGGGGGCGTATTGAGGAACCTGGCCTTGGGGCAGCAGAGAGAGTAAATCCGGCCCGCTTCTACTGCCATGCTGGTACTGGTACTTTGTGTTCTGCATGCTTACTGTGGCCCCAGTACTGGTATCCTATGTCCTATATTTCTGCTGTCACCCTGGTACCCTATGTCCTATACTTCTTGTGTTCTATACGCTTGCTGTCATCCCTTTACTGGTACACTGGGTTCTATACTCCTACTGTGGCCACAGTACTGGTACCCTGTGTTCTGTACTGCTGCTGTCATCCCGTTACTGGTACCCTGTGTTCTGTACTCCTACTGTGGCCCCATACCCTGTGTTCTGTACTCCTACTATGGCCCCAGTACTGGTACCATCCCAGATAGCAAGGATAACTTGCCACAAACTTGTGTCGGGGTTAAATTGTAATTTTGTTAACTTGCTGCACATATTCCTGGCAAGTTGTAGACTTGCAGAACACTCGCAGCACAAGTTCTAGTTGACACTTTTTGAATTTGTAGCAAATTTGCTTGGCAAGTCTACAGCAAGAGTCCTGCAGGTCTTAGCAAGAGCTCTGCAAGCTCGCTGGTCTGGAGACTTGCAGTGCAGACTTGCTGTAATTGTGCAACAAAATTGTGAAGCGCGGCAAGTCTGCAAGAGTTTAGCAAGTCATTTTCAAATTTGCAGCACAATTTCTTGCTATCTGGGATGTGTTCTGTACTCCTGTTGTCACCCTGTTACTGGTAACCTGTGTACTCTACTTCTGCTTTCACTCCACTACTGGCACCCTGTGTCCTTTACTCTTGCTGTTACCCTTGTACTGGTACCCTGTGTATTATACTTCTACTGTCAGCCTGGTACTGGTACCCTGTGTATTGCACTCCTACTGTCAGCCTGGTACTGGTACCCTGTGTATTGCACTCCTACTGTCAGCCTGGTACTGGTACCCTGTGTATTGTACTCCTACTGTCAGCTTGGTAATGGCACCCTGTGTATTGTACTCCTACTGTCAGCCTGGTAATGGTACCCTGTGTATTGTACTCCTACTGTCAGCCTGGTACTGGTACCCTGTGTATTGTACTCCTACTGTCAGCCTGGTAATGGCACCCTGTGTATTGTACTCCTACTGTCAGCCTGGTACTGGCACCCTGTGTATTGCACTCCTACTGTCAGCCTGGTACTGGTACCCTGTGTATTGTACTCCTACTGTCAGCCTGGTACTGGTACCCTGTGTATTGTACTCCTACTGTCAGCCTGGTACTGGTACCCTGTGTATTGTACTCCTACTGTCAGCTTGGTAATGGCACCCTGTGTATTGTACTCCTACTGTCAGCCTGGTAATGGTACCCTGTGTATTGTACTCCTACTGTCAGCCTGGTACTGGTACCCTGTGTATTGTACTCCTACTGTCAGCCTGGTACTGTTACCCTGTGTATTGTACTCCTACTGTCAGCCTGGTACTGGCCCCCTGTGTATTGTACTCCTACTGTCAGCCGGGTACTGGTACCCTGTGTATTATACTCCTCCTGTCTGTGATGTGGGTATTTTTGCAGGTTTCACATCTATAGCTTGCAGGAAAACTTCCCATTTGTGTTGCTCTGTTTAGGGTGCTTCTCAAACTTAGTTGTTTTAGATCAAAGACGCAAAATTATTTAAGATGGCTAACATGGTCCGACACTAAAAATAAATGAATTACACATTAAGTAAACAAAGGTATCGGTTAATAAAAGGTGAATTACAAATTAAGTACTCCATTACTAACTTCAAGCTTCCCTGTCCATCCTTGTGCGTGAGCTTTTTTCTTTTAGATATAAGTCCCCGACTGGAACTATCAGAATAATTCATTGCTGGTGTGTGAGAGATATCATCGTCATCAGTATTTTTGCTTCCGTCAGGTTGGCGGCTATTGGGACAAATCCTGCAGCACGGTCACCCAGCTGAAGGAAGGTCTGAATAGAATTTTGTGCCTTATCCCTTATAACGTCATAAACCAGCCGGTCTGGGAGTGTATCATGCCGGAGTGGCTAGAGGCCATCAGAACTGAGGTGCCGGACCTCCAACTCAAAGAGTTCCGAGAGGTCCTCAGGTCAGTTGGACATGGCGTGCTTTAAAGGGGTCAGCAAACTGAAAATGTGAAAACTTCTCCCTTTTATGCTGTTTTTATTTGATGAATATACCACTGAAAATTTTATTTTATATCTCTTCAATAAGAAGTTTATTGGCCCCATACATTTTAACATTCTGCTTCCATTTTATTTTGTGTCTGTACTGATGACATCTTCTGGTTCATTCTCAGTAAAATGTTTGACATCGAGCTGTGCCCGCTGCCCTTCTCTATGGAAGAGATGTTTGGGTTTATCAGCTGCCGATTCACCGGCTATCCATCCTCCGTCCAGGAACAAGCTTTACTGTGGCTACATGTGAGTTCTTTGTATATATTACTTATTCTTTAGTAAGGAAATGTGACTCCATGAATATTGTCTTCCCCATCAAGCAGGACCAAACTTCCTACGTAGACACCTCCTCTATCTTCCTGTCATTGTCATTCATTCCTAAAGAGTCCTAAAGAGAAATAATGATGATATGCTTTACTAGTGATTCAATGGCATTACTATGTGCTTATATGCTAATGTTAGGTTCTTTATATCAGCCTTTCTAAACCCGGGGGTGCCTTCTGCTTTCCTCAGGGGTGCCACGAAATGTTTGCACACCATCATGCCTTTCAAAAGGGGGCTCCTGATGTGAATGGGGGTAGGGCTTCTGATGTGAAGAGAGCTCCTGATGTAAAGGTGGGGGGCTGCTGATGTGAAGAGGGCTCATGATGTTTTCTAATGTGAAGAGAGCTCCTGATGTGAAGGTGGGGGGCTTCTGATATGAAGAGGGCTCATGATGTGAAAGGGGGGGTTCTAATGTGAAGAGAGCTCCTGATGTGAATGGGGTATGGGGGCTTCTAATGTGAAGAGAACTCCTGATGTGAATGTGGAGGCTTCTGATGTGAAGAGACCTCCGGATGTGAAGTTGGGGGCTTCTGATAGGAAGAGGGCTCATGATGTGAAGGGGGGGGTTCTGATTTGAAAGGAGGGACTCTTAAGTAAGGAGAGGAGCTCCTAGCGTGAAAGTGGGGACACTGATATGAAAGGGGTTCCTGATTTGAAGGGGTGTACTCTGATTAAGGGGGGACCTGATGAATCTGTGAAGTGGGAACCACTTTAGTGTGTTTTGGCATGGGGTCTCCCTTTAAAATCCATACCAGATCCCTCTCTGGGATAAGGGTCCGGTATGGATTTTAGAGGGGTCACACACCTTTTTTAATGATAAGAAAGGCAGAATTCTGATGTGAATGGGGGGGGGGCTTTGATATGAAGGGAGGCTCTTGATTTGAAGGGGTGTACTCTGATGAAGGGGGGGCCACTTATTTGTGCTTTTGCATGGGGTCTCCCTTTAAAATACATAGGAGATCCCTATCTGGGACAAGGGTCTGGTATGGATTTTAGAGGGGCCACACACTTTTTTTCACATTTAAATTTTTTACATCTTGGACTGGGGTGCCTCAATATTTTGCATACTTTTAAACGGTGCCGTGACTTAAAAGCGGTAGAGAAATGCTGATTTGTATAACAACAAGTTGGCTTGATAGAATGACTTAGCAGAAAGATGTTATTGAAACAAATTGCTGTTCCTCTAATCCTTGGAATGTCTTGTTGTGGAACACAGAGGCACTTAGTCTCCTTGTTCTACAGTGAGATATTTGGAAGTCTGGAGGTCGGTCAGAGATAATAGAAATAAATGCCTCTTGTATGTTAATGATGTGCTGCTTTTGGGGAATGGTTGCCTCCCGGTTTCATCCAGAGATCAGATCCTTGGTACATCTGTTATGTCTGAGGATCTCTTTGTTTTAATCTTTATCTTTACTTTGTAACTCTTCTCTTCCAAATTAAACTTTCAAAACCTTCAACCGGGTTGTTGATTTCCTTATCACTTCATTTCACAGGTTTTGTCAGAACTCGACATTGTGGTTCCTCTCCAGCTGTTGATCAGCATGTTCTCCGATGGGGTGAACTCGGTGAAGGAGCTGGCCAATCAGAAGAAAGTCCGTATCACTGAGCTGTCCGGGAACATTCCTGGAAACCGGGTAAACAGGACTAACATTTCTGCTTATAATATGCAGATAGTTAAATTATTAAATGAAATCTTTCCATTTTCATTACATATCTTATTTTATACCCAGTGTTGTCATCCCTGCGTCTCTCTCTCTATGCAATGCAGGCAGATCATTGCTGGTGCGAGGGGCCGGCAGGGTGCTGCCCTACTGAAAACTGATAGCCGTAGTAATGCCCACATGCAACGCTGAGCCTTCATGATTGAAAGAACTGAAATCTAATGAATGAAAGGGGTGGGCTAGGGACAGTCAGGTTGGGGAGCAAAGGTCTAGATGTTGCTGGACATTCTCCAGCCAGGAAATGAGGCGGGGCTCTATCTGACTTGCTGCAGCTTCTAATGTACATTGAGAGAAGCTCGCAGTGTGCTGTGACATCGGAGGAAGCAATTTCATTCCAGGAGAGGGGCCGGTACAACTGTGCAAGACTGAAGGGAAGTCTGGAGTTCAGCTTTAAAGCTAATGTATGATTTTAGGGTTTAGATCTACTTTAAAAACAGAACCCCAGGTAAAGGTCATAGGTGCTGATTCATGAAGGTGTGACTGTACATACGGCAGTCAGAAAGTGCTCTTAAGGCATGCTAAAATGGCCTCTCTGCCAGGTGTGTCCCGAGGGCGGGGGACACCCGGAGCGGAGACCGCCGTGACGTCACCGTGCAGGAGCGTGATGTCACCACGCGCGTGCGCGATGATATCATCTTATTTACGCCTGCCGGCGGACATATTAGTGATGGACACCGGCAGAGAGAGGAGGGGACGTTCACCCGGCGGGATGAGTTATGCCGCCGGGTCCCCTCCTTACTCCTGACATTTCAGAGGGGGTGACACCAAAATAACTATCAGTCATTTTGGTGTCACCCCTCCAATGGTTCCACCCGGGTGTGGGCCGCAACCCCCTTGTGACACCACTGCTCTCTGCCACTGCAGCATGAGTGTCCATGAAGTCAGGATTTTAATTACGTGCCCCATCTACAGTATATGCCCTCTATTACTCCTGTAGCTGCAAACATCCTCCATATGCACAATACTGTACTCTGGGTGATCTTGGTGTGGAGAACCTTAACCTGCAGCAGGTTTCACTACTATTGACCTATGAATTTTCCTCTGCTTCCATGTCGCCTATATTGATGGTTCTCCATTTCCCTTGCAGAGTAGCATTGCTTCAGATCCAGGGCGTCGGGTTCTGCACAGCATGCTGAGTCCTTTCCCGAGCCCCTTTCACAGTCCCTTCCGGAGTCCCATGCGCAGTCCTTTCCGGAGCCCCTTTAAAAACTACGGACACCCCGTGGGAAGGACCATCGATTTTGACTGCGATGAGGAGGAAATGAACCTAAACTGCTTTATCCTCATGTTTGATCTCATATTAAAACAGGTATTGTAACCCAGATCCCAACGGCCCTGTCCTTCCTTATTTATTACAGGTATTTATAGTGCCAACGATGTACAGATCGCTTTACACAGTGCACATTCACATCAGTCTCCGCCCTCAAGGAGCTTACAATCTAAGGTCCCTATTTCACATACACACACTAGGGCCAATTTAGACAAGAGCCAAACCTACCAGCGTGTCTGGGTGGAAACTGGAGTACCCGGAGGAAACCCACACAAAAACATATGCATAATGCACCAACATGCACATAAATCCTGAAAGGTACCAAACACAAGGCACACCTCTGCTCCTCCCCTAAAGGTGGCCATACACTGTACAACCATCGCAAGATTAATCGTACGATTCTCGGCTGGTTTTCTAACATGCTCCTTAGACAAAAGACGTGCGACCGTACAGTAGAAACGGTCGCACGTCTTCGTTCACACTGCTCGATTCTCGTACGATCGTGGGATTTCGTGCGAGAATCAAGCAGTGTATGGGCACCTTAAGGGAAGTGATTGACAGTGTCTCACAGGTGCTGCCCATGAGGAGCAGCATAGGCGTGTCTTGTTTTTACTGTCCTTTCTTGCTTGTCTTTTTAGCTACCTACACAGCATGCAAAAATGTAAAAAAAATATGATATAATAATAAGTAATTAAATAAATATTTTAAAGCTTTTCAAAATATTATTTTTTTTATTTTTTTATTTCAAAATATACAGTTATTCGTTCTCTGTGCACAGCGAGTGCACAAAGCGAGCAATACAATGGTACAATTGTGTACAAGCTAAGTCATGTGATGTTATTGCTGATATACAGTAGTGATCACATGATCAGGATCCTTAGTGATCATTAGTAAAGACGGGGGGCTGTCCGTGACTAAGCTGCATGTTCCTATCTGTAAAAGGGAACGTAGATTAACTTTCCCCTGGCATGGGCCATCACTCTGAGGAAGTTAGGCTATAGCAGCGGTGGGCAAACTCTGGCCCTCTCTCTGCCTCTGGGAGTCATGCCTGTGGCTGTCAGAGTATTGCAATGCCTCATGGGATTTGTAGTTGCCCCACAGCTGGAGTACCGGAGTTTGCCCACCCCTGGTCTATACTGTAGCTGGTGGGTGGGGATGGGTTATGTTGGTTGGTGTGCGTCTTGTTTTTCTATTTATTTTGTGCTATAGGTTGTTCCTTCCTTTTTTTGTTTAAAGGTGAGATACAGTACGTGTGGCTGTAGAAGGAAACACTAGATTCTAAGCTCCTGTGGGGCAGGGACTCATAGGATTGGCTTTGTGTTCCCAGTAGGGCAGTGGTGGTCAATTTACTAGGTAACAGGGGGTCTCATCTGCGGCCCCTGACACCCCCAGTGGGCGGCACATAATATTAAGTATATGTAGTGGTAGAGAAGAATGGCCAGGGACTGTGGATACAATGGTGGAGAAGGTCAGAGACTGATGACATGCTACAGGTGTAGCTGAAGGCGGGAGACATGCTTCAGGAGACTAGATACTGAGGATATGTTACAGGATCACTTCCATTACAGCCCCTTTACGTGTTAATGCTCCCTCTATTGGCTACCGGGACCTGAGGGCCACAGCATGAGTAGAAGAGGGCTACAGGTTGGGCACCAGCGCTATAGAGAATATTTCAGTGCAACATAGATGGGAAAATTATAACGGGATGAACCTGCTTGTTGTGTTCCAGATGGAGCTGCAGGATGACGGCATCACGCTGGGTTTGGAGAACAGCCTACCCAAGGACATCATCTCCATCATAAACAACGTGTTCCAGGCCCCCTGGGGGGGCTCCCACACCTGTCAGAAGGACGAGAAGGCCGTGGAGTGCAGCCTGTGCCAGTCCAGCATCCTCTGCTACCAGATGGCCTGCGAGCTGCTGGAGCGGTTGGCGCCCAAGGTGGAGATACGCCTGGTGGTATGTAATCCCG